ATGAGGGGAAGGGTGGCAGGAGATGGAGTCAGCGAGGCTGCAGCAGGTAACTCAATGTCGTACTGGCAAGAGATGGCTTGGAACAGAATAATGCAATGATGTTAGTTAGTGATGCAACACCAGCAGCATCTGCAGATAGAATGCATGTGGAATGTGAGAGAAAGGAAGACAAAGTTGATTCTGGTTTATGTCACAGCAAATGGCAGCACAGAGTGGCCATTGACTGAGATGGGGGGAATAACAGAAAGGCTAGTGTACTTTTTGGAAGTGGAGGAGCTCAGTTTTAGATCTGTTAGGATGGATGCAATATTGACAGCCTTTACGACTGAATGAGATCACGTGGGGGAGAGAGGAGAAGACAGGGTAGGAGAGGAGAGGAGAAACCTGAAGACTGAATTGTGAAGCATAGACGAGTTCAAGGACATGATACAGATCCAGCAAGGAGACCAAAAAGGAACAACCAGTGAACTCAGGTGAAAACTAGAAGGGGGCTTTCTCCAGAAAGCCAGTTTACCTCTTTAGTATTCACAGGGGACGACAAATAGTAGCAGACTCTAAATCATATAAATTCTATTGAGGCTAGTTTGGAAATAGCAAAAATAGGAAATGTAAAAGATGGCCACAAAGATAAAAAACACAAGGATTTCTGAGAGGCCCTGTAGACAATATGAGAATTGGGAGCAGGTAAGGGAGTTGTGAACAGAAAAACTAAACTCTAACTTCAAGTAAGATGTGACCCCTACTTCCTCCTTCATAAGTCTTTATATGTGATATAAGGAAAAGGTTTAATCCACCACAATATAATAATTCAAAAAAGTTTATATCAACTATTCAAGGAGAATTATAACATTCCTGCATAGTAATTGAGGCAAATACGTTACTGTAAAGAAATATAATTTAATTATGTTTTCTCTCCAGAGTTTCCCTTGAGATATCTAAAAATCTATTTCTAAGTACCTATTATGTATATGAGTGTGTGTGTGTGTGTACGCACTCAGCATCACGCTTTAAAGAGCTAAAAGCTTTCCAGAAAGTGTGAATTATGTGTTTGTGGGTCTATTTTTGTGAATGCAAAAAATAAATTTGTTGGATAGTGAGTTTATGAGTAGTAGATAAATTTATTCACATATTTTTGTAAAGGTTAGAGTTTATTACCCATTCATGTACTACTGAGTTAAAGCATTAGAAGACAGTTAAAATAAAGTCTTAATGGCACCTGACCAGTAGGAGTTTTGGTCCTGGTCTAAACACTTTATTGCTGTTTCAGCATCAACTGGGTAAGCGGACCAACAAAAAGAAAAATGATGTTTGCAACATTACCATTTTGCGACAAATATATATACATGTTTGTATTCCTAAGTTTCCAATGCACCTTGCAGTTTTATCCAGTATGAATGCAACACTATTTGCATTTGAGAGAAGTTTGTAACAACCCCAAAACTACTTGTTAATATAGCTTAGTTTTTTCAGTCTTGTCAAGTCTTTCTTTTGTAGGGTAAGATGATCAGCAGTCCTGGAGCAAGCCTGACTGGCTGTGGTCTACCAGTGTTGTAATGAAAACAGGGCAAGTTGTATAAGACGTACTTACTAGAAAAGATCATAAAATTATCAGAACATCTCATTCATTTTCAGGTGGCAATCTTTCCCTTCTTTCCTCACACTAAATCACATTACTTTGTGTTTAAAGTAAAATGTACTTTGAAATCCATATGTAAATTTGAAAAAGCACTTTTTTATTTTAAGTGAAACATTTATTCACACTTCATATGTTGACGTGCCAGTGGCGATTTGGGCTGAGTTTTCAGAAAAGGAATTTTTTAGCTTTTATGTTCTCTGTTTTTGGGTGTTGGTTGGTTTGTTTTTTTTTACCTAAAAGATATTTAGTATTACTTATTCTATTATCAGACAAATGTGCATGAATTCTAGTCATGTTTTTCTTTTGATTCATGAAGAATGGACACTTTTGCTGGATGTTTAACATTTTCATGGTTGTCATGTAATTATTAAAATTTTAACATAATCAGTGTGAGGCATTGTTAGTTCATCAAAAACCAACCATATTTATTTGTTGACTATTATTGGTAGTATTTAGTTGTGATATTCTATCCTTGAATAGAAACTTACAAATAATTATAAATAGGCATTTATAACCACCTGAAAATAAGTTCCAATCATCTAGATAATGGATAGACTTACTTACATTTATAAAATAAATAGGTTAAATTTTTTTTTTCTGATTCAGTTTCAGCCCATCTTGTGTCATGGAAGGACTCGATGATTACCGCTGCACAGCTTGTCCACATGGATACGAGGGCCAGTACTGTGAACGGTATGAACAGTCATGATATATAGAGAATCATGATACATAGAGATCGTATAATAAAGGGTCACAATAGAAAAGTATTTATTATTTTCATATTCTCTAATTGTTTATATGCTTTCAAAATTATTTTTATATCTGACTTTGAAGAAACAAACTATTTCACAATTAACTAATTTATGTTTTAAGATACATATATATGTAGAGAAAGAGAGAGAGAAGTTTTATAAGAACAAATAAATCAATTTCCAAAAGCTTATCAGTAGTTAATAATAAACTGCTGGCCACACTTAATTCTCATTTTAGTTCAGTAGAAAATATTAGCTAGCATTTATTGCATTCATGTCACTGTTCTGAGAATGATGGCACTACACAAGCGAGTGTATTCATAACTCACAATATAAATGATATCAAGCATTCTTAATTTGAACAACCCAAACAATAAAGTGTTTGTCATTCAGTTTTCCTTTTCAACAGGCAGAGTCTTTAAATACTTCCTCTTGCCATACTTTTTACAATATCTGATAATGCATGTATGCAGCTATTAAATTGAATTCTAACTGTCATACAAATGGTAAATTAAGAAGCACAATTCCACACTGTCTAGAAAGGTTGTAATTAATATCTTCTGGATTCATATTTTCTACAAAATCAGTATCCTTGATATTAAAGTTATCACCACTATTTTTAGTATGTTTTAGGTATCATCTGTAAAATAACAGAAAGTAACTAATATTATTAACATTATATGCACATAATAATTTTAGCATAAGTGATAATAGTATAAAGTTTTATAAAGATCTGTGGACATGCCTAACTCCCCCAACTTAGCTTGTCCCATTTTTCTTATCTATACCATCAGTATAGCTGATGCTCTACGTACTTTATACTAACATTATGAAGATCAAGTGTGCAGAGGATACTGTTGGTACCCTGCCTAATCACCTACACAGATAACTCCTCTCCCATAGAGGGGTAAAAGGCCTGAGAGTTGAACCCATCTTCTTCCAGTGATTCATAGCTAATGACTAACTGGTATGAGAGTACAAAAGTCCAGCTCCTTTGCCCCAAAACTGAACAAATTTTGAGATGCTATTTATGCTCCAGAGTTTTCCATGGAGTCAGGCTGGGAAATTACCTGGAATCATACCATTGCTTGGATCCTTTCTTTCCCATGTCCTGATTCACCCACCCCTTTGCTAGATTTTTTCGGATCACTTCCTTAAATTATTAATCTCTTTGCAAATCTAAACCAATATTAATTAATTAATTAAATAAATTTACCCATTTAAGAATCTTCTTTTGGTATAGCCAGTGATGGGTGTGTTCATATGGAAATAAGTAAATGACTAAATAAGTAAACCCAAGTTTTATAAATTCCAATATAGTTTCTATAAGCTTACAAAATATATTTCCGAATAATTCTATATGTGGTAACTCTAAACATTATATCTAATACTTGCATGCATGTATACAGAGGGTGCCAAAAAATGTATACACATTTTAAGAAAGGAAAAAACTATTAAAATTGTAATACTCAATATGTACCAATAACAAAACATGAATACAAGTCACGTTTGACTTCTGCAATTACAAGAGGTGCTCAAAGTGGTTACCATCAACATCCAGACACTTCTGATTACAGTGAAAACTACTGCTTGAGTAACACTGACCAAAGTGTCCACTTGTATATGTTTTTTTGTCACCCCCAGCATATATATCAGGGCATTCATAATTTCCATGTCAGTAGAAAATAGCAGCAATTAAGTAACCCAAAGCATTACAAAATGAAAAAGTATTTTCATTTGTTTTGGAGATATATACATCACTTGAGAATATATATATATATATATATATATGTATATGTATATGTATATATATATATATAATGTATATTAATATCCACCAGTGTGCTTTGGTATTCATGCTTAGGCTAATATTAATTTCATGCCCTTGTAAACTCCGGTAGGATGATGACTAAAGGCATCCCTGATCACCAAGGAAATTATCTGCAGTAATTTATGAAAAAAATGTTTGACAGCACAGCTACATTTATAAATTGAAGTTACTACTATCTATGAAAGCATGTATATAGAAAAGACTAGCAGGGTACACTGAAATGTCAATTAGTGTATTAAGGCAGCGTGATTACAGAAAATTTTTACTATCCATTAATGTTTAATCAATAAGAATTGGCAGTTTATATAGCACATAGATGAGCAGGGTCATACACCTGAATTGTTTTTGCAGTTCTCAAATGTTGTTATAGCTTTACATTTATCATCTCTAACATAAGTGATCAGGTTCTATTTCCCTGAAAAATTGCTTTTATTCAGCTAAATTAAACCAAAGGTCTTGGTTAAATTTTTATTGTAACCTTCCAAATAAATTTGTTCCACTTCTGAGAGCTTCTTAAATTATTTAAATCACCTTATGACCTGCCCAAATTCATCAGCTCAGGTCTAAAACTGCTTAAATGTCTTGAGTGTCCCTGTTATGTAAAAACCCCTCCCCATGCTTTACCTTAGTTACTCTTATAATAAATTCTTCGAGCGTTTAATCAATCTGAACCTGCTTAGAATAGAATTTTTTTCACCTGCAAATGTTAAGGAACAGTTTAAATGGATTTATTTAAATGCCACTTTTATTGAGCATTTGTAATATTATATTGGAAATAAAATAACAAAACCATAAATGTATAGAA